ATGAGGACCAGGTTGTGTTTTAAATGTTATTTTTTTCAGGGTTTTTGAGAGTTACAGACAAAGCTTGAAAACCTTCCTCCCTCACTGAAGCATTTAGACAACGCACAGTTAGCAGGTGTTTGAATGACAGTCTGGGGTTTGGACAGGTTATGCTTTAAGAAAAAAGTTTCTTTTATTTTGACCCCCCCCACCCCTCCACACTATTTGATTGAAACTGTTAAACCCAGCATAATGACCAGGACATCAAGGTCTAAGTTTCAGAAACAACCCCTTCTCTCTCCTCTCTAAGAACTGAGTACATCTTGTCAACCCACCTCCATAAGAGAACTGAAATCCAAAGGCCCAGAGAAAGACATTAAATATGACGTCGTATTATCAGATGACACAGGCCAAGATGACATTAGAACCAATCACCCACGGTCTAGATTATTGGAACTTGATTGGCAAATTCTGATATCTTTTGACCAAAAAAAAGCAAGTTTATTTTAACATTTAAATATGAAAAAGTATTAAAATACACTGAAGGAAGAGTTTTACTCTTGTGTTTTCTTTTTGAGGCCATGAGAAGCATTGAAGTTGGAACTGTGTTTTAACTCTTTCCGTGTTTTTTTATTTTTATTTTTTGGACATCTGACAGGGACAAATGGAGATTAATGTTTTTTCTGTGGGGTGGAGGAGGTCTGGATCAGAACCTGACGGTCAGATTACGGTAACCTCAGAATATTTTCACTCACGGCAAATTATTTGACAACACAGCATGCCTGGGGTCAGAGTCGACGGAGCTGCGTACGAGGTACGGTGAAACAGCAAAGAACAGCAGACTATGAGAAGTTCTGTTTGTGTAACTCTGATCTGTCAGAGCCTGCAAGGACTGTCCAACCTCTCGGAGATGACGTGGATCTTTCCAGAGGGACCCCTGGGCGTGAATGGCTGAAATGCAGTGGAAGAGGTCATTTGGAAAAATGTAATGTCAAAATTAGTTTTTTTTTTTTTTTACCAATGACCTGATTTGATTCTGTCCAAGACCCCCAGCCGCTCCACAGGGAGCTTTGAACATTTAAGTTTAGAGTTATGCACGAAAAGAGATCCAGTTGAGACAAAATGTTGAGTTGTTTGTGTTTTTGTTTGTTTCTTGAAATAAACTACAAGGGGGATTACTGTATGTTATAAAATTACCATTTGTTATGAACTGAGATTTTGTTATCAACTGGGATTATGTTTATTCAACTAAGGATTAAATATTTGTTCAGATTTATATATTAGTGTCATTCACTGCAGGATACCTACTGAGTGATACCTACTTCACATATGGGGAGCAATATTATAGGCAGAAACATGGGTGTGCTATGGGGTCTCCAGTTTCTCCTATTGTTGCCAACCTGTACATGGAGGAGGTAGAAAAGGGAGCCTTGACATCCTTTTCAGGGACACCACCAAGTCATTGGTTCAGGTATGTTGACGACACCTGGGTTAAAATTAAATCTCAGGAAGTCCAACATTTTACTGACCACATCAACTCTGTGGATAAATACATCAAGTTCACACGAGAAGATGTAAAAAATGGCAAGTTGGCTTTCTTGGACTGTGAGGTCTCAGTCTCTGATAGAGGACATTTGCAAACCGAGGTGTACCGCAAACCCACCCACACAGACCAGTATTTGCAGTTTGACTCCCATCACCCTTTGGAGCACAAGTTAGGAGTCATCAGGACTCTGTACCACAGAGCAGACAGCGTCCCCACTAACTCAGGAGCCAGGCAGAAGGAGAAATCCTACAATGTGGATATCCTAACTGGGCCTTCCTGAAAGAAGAAACCCAAACAGGACTCCAGTCAGCCATCAGGTGAAAAGGAGGAACCCAGACCCAGACCAGTGGTCATTCCGTATGTTGAGGGAGTATCAGAGAAACTGAGACGTTTATTTTCTAAACATAACGTCCCAGTGGCTTTTAAACCCCAAAATACATTAAAGACTGGTTCATCCCAAAGATCCAGTCCCCCGGCACAAACAGAGTAATGTTGTGTATGCTGTTCAGTGTCAGGAGGGTGATCAGTCTTACATCGGGGAAACCAAACAGCCACTGGCCAAAAGGATGGCCCAGCACAGAAGATCAACATCATCAGGCCAGGACTCTGCGGTCTAGACTCATCTCCAGGCCAGCGGTCACTCTTTCAGGGATGAAGATGTGCACATCGTGGATAGAGAGGAACGATGGTTTGAGAGAGGAGTAAAGGAGGCCATCTTTGTGAAAAGAAATCGTCCATCATTAAACAGGGGTGGAGCCTCCAGGTTCAATTGTCCCCCTCTTACAATGCTGTGATTGCTAGTATCACTCAGCCCTCTGTGAACAGTAAACAGCCATCAGTGTGCTAATGACCCATTGTTAGGCTGATGGTCCTTCTTGAGCATGTGATCAGCTGGTTTTGGTTGTCAGCAGCAAAACTGGTTGATCCACTCTGAGAAGGTGCTATTTAAGAGACTGAGCTGAATACAGCACCTCAGACTGAGGAAGTCTCTCAGATGAGAGACGAAACGTTTCTACATTTTTTTTTTGTTGATTTGCTTTGTTTGTTTTTTTGAATGTCCAGAGGACCAGATTTAACTTTTTAGATTTTCTACCTGGATTATTGAGCATGCATCAGGATAACCTCATCTATGGTCATGAGCTTTGGGTTGTGACCGAAAGAACAAGATCTCGGATACAAGCGGCCGAAATGAGTTTTCTCCACAGGGTGTCTGGGCTCTCCCTTAGAGATAGGGTGAGAAGCTCGGTCATCCTGGAGGGGCTCAGAGTAGAGCCGCTGTTTCTCCACATCGAGAGGAGCCAGTTGAGGTGGCTCGGGCATCTGTTTAGGATGCCTCCTGGACGCCTCCATGGCGAGGTGTTTCGAGCACGCCCCACCGGGAGGAGACCCAGAGGAAGACCCAGGACACGCTGGAGGGACTATGTTTCTCGGCTGGCCTGGGAACGCCTTGGGATTCCCCCGGAGGAGCTGGACCAAGTGGCTGGGGAGAGGGAAGTCTGGGCCTCTCTACTTAAGATGCTACCCCCACGACTCGACCTCGGATAAGCGGAAGAAAATGGATGGATGGATGGATGGATGGCATTTGGATGATATTTTAAATAAATGGCACTCTTTACAATAAATAAACTCTACTAACAATAATAAAATCTTAATAAATACAATAACAGTCAGAAACAGAACAATAAGAAGCAACAGACCGTTTACAATCTAACTAATCAAGTTTTAAGTTTTTGTCCATAAAGACCAACTTGTACACATTTTCTACCAAAAGTTGCAGTGATGGGCAGCATGGTGGCGCAACTGGTAGAGCTGCTGCCTCTCAGCGAGCAGGTCCCTGGTTCAAATCCTGGGCCTTTCTGGGTGGAGTTTGCATGTTCTCTCCTTTCTGCGTGGGTTTTCTCCGGGTACTCTGGTTTCCTCCCACAGACCAAAAACATGCATGTTAGGCTGACTGGTAACTCTGAATTGTCCCTAGGTGTGAGTGAGAGAGTGAGAGTGAATGGTTGTTTGTCTCGTTTGTCTCTATGTGTCCCTGTGATGAACTTGCGACCCGTCCAGGGTGTACCCCGCCCCTCGCACAGTGACTGCCGGACATGGGCACCGACGACCCCCATGACCCAAAAATGGAAGAAGTGGGTAAAAGATAATGGATATTAGAGCATAATAATTCAATAACAATACATCATGCGTCATCATTTCTGTTATAAGGTGGTTGAATATTCTCTCTCGCTCGTCATCATTGGTGTGGCAGAGCTTTAAATCTGGTCCAGGGCTTGTTGATGATCAGTTTTATCTTTTTCATAAAGTGCTGGTACAACTTTTTGGCTGAAGTGTTGATGTGATGGGATGTTGTAGCGGGGCTCAATAAATTTAAAGCCGGTGCATCAACAACAGAATACGGACGTAGATCCAGAGCTTTAAAAACTCCTACAGCTTGTGTTATTGCTCTGGACTGGTCTGAATGACCTGATAAAGGTTGTTTAAATGCTGCTGTTGTCGGTCTTTGCAACGAGCTGCTAGAAGAGACGTTCACGTTCGGATGATGTTGTTACAAGTACGTTAACAAGTTAGACGTGTTGCTGCTGCAGATCCAATCTCTGTGAAACAACGTCGACACACAGCTTTGGATTTGTCCACTTGTCTTTTAACAAGAAAGACATAATGTTCCCAAACAGGAGACCACAACGAGATGAAAGGGTCTGGCTGTTTCATTGTCTGCTAGGTTGCTAATGCTACGCGTGCTGCAAGACTACGCAACAATTAATAATGCCCTGCTGAAACATGCTTAGAAACTTTAGTTCCACGACGCATAATCTCTCGTTAATAAAATTCTATGAGTGAAAAATTAACCGAAATGGTACGCACGTGGACTGAACCGAACATGATGTACTGAAACGGTTGAATACGCCTACATGTACCGTTACACCACTAGTTTCTATAGAACAGCAACATGATGACCATAAATTCCAGACTATTGAGAGCACCTGAATATAAGCTACGCATACTAAATTTAAAAAGAAAAATAAATTGCACATACGTAAGCCGTGCTTGTCTGTAAGCCGCGGGTGTCCACGTGAGATATTTTGTGTCCGATATTGTGTGACCGTTTCATGTGTCCAATGTGATCTGTTTGGTAATTTCATTGGTCAGATTTTTTTAACCTTTATTTATACAGATAGTCTCACTGAGTCACGAGGAGCCACCACCCAAGATGTAGTGGACAGCTATATGAGCACCCGGGTGTGACGACACTAAATGTTTTGGCAGCATGAAGCTCGTTAGCCCGTCAAAAAAAAAAAATCCATAAATTTGCCACAACATTGTATAAGCCGTGAGATTTAAGGCCTGTGAAAAAAGTAGAGGCTTATAGTCCGGAAATTACGAGTAGTTCAAAATAAATGTGGCACATTCCAATATTTTCTAAAAGGTTGACTTCAAACAAGAAACACTTTTAGAAGATTTTCTGTTTTCTTACCAGATAAACTCTGTGTGCAGAGTGCACCATCTCTGGCCTTTGCCAGCCTGTCCCGGCCCTTCTGTAACTCTGTTCTGATGAATCTGAGCTGCCAGCCAGTTCCCACTGCCGTTTCGCAACACATAGCGGTCCAAGAAGACCAGCTGGCTCTCAGGTCCATAGAACCAGTTGTAGTTGGAGTCTGCAATGGCTACAGTCTTCTGAAATCCTGGTGAGAACAGAGAGGACAGATCTCAGACACAGCAAATAATGAGCATGCACTAAAATATCAAGGTTCAAGATTCAAGGTTCTTTATTGTCATTCACATCACATGTGGTACATGAGGTGGAACGAAATTGTGTACCCAAGGTCCCAGTTACACCCCAAAATAGCAAAGATATAAAGTATAAAAAATAAGCAGTATACAATACAAGGATCTAAGATATATGCTAAACAATAATAATGTAATATAATATAGTGTTTTAAAGAATTAGACTATTATTAAAAAGTTTAGAATTGTTAACTACAAATACTTAGAGGATCGGATGTTGTACTTCGAAACCAGTGCTAGAGACAGAAAACCATTAACACTCTCACTCACACGTAGGGACAGAACAGAGACACCAGTCAGTCCAACATGCATGCCCTTGGTCCACGGGAGGAAACTGGAGTACAGTAGTTCCTCGCTACTTCGCAGTTCGACTATCATGGACTCGCTCTATCATGGTTTGTGAACATACAGTCCTTATACTGTACTGGACCAAAAATAAAATAAAAATAAAAATGAATAAATTAAAAAATAAACAATTGTACAAGACACATGATTGTGGACTGTACAGTAATACTATATCACTGTACTCGTGGTTGTGTAAAAGTTAATGACAAAAATAAAATATTTTGGACAGGCACTGCTATTCTGTAGTTTTCTCTGAGTAATCCTCCACTGTATTCCTGCACATAATGACACATTTCCCAGAAGGCAACAGGGCCCCTCCCAGAAGCCCCATTTCCGTCTGCTGAAAAAAACAGAGGTAAAGTTTTGCTCTGCTCAGTGCCCAGCGGATGCAGAGTAGCTGCACAAAACCCACCGAACTGGAGCCGAACAGGAGCAGAACCAGACCCATCGGTGAATCTCGAGAGCTGGTACCCAGCCCACGAGGACCTATAAGCGGGGATGCGCACCAAGCCCATCTGGACTTTTTTCATCTATACATTGACTCAAATTGACCATCTATGGTCCCACACCAGTCAACAGAAGTTATGCACCCCCCCCCCCCACCCCACACACACACACATAATGCACTTCAGCACTCAAACTGAACAGAACTGGACCAGAACCAGACCTCCAGACTCAGCGGTGAACCCCAGAGCAAGTAAAATTTAGTAGCTATATATAAGTATGTTGTTATAATTAGTAGGATTAAGAGTTGACAACATTGATTGTGGGCTTGTCGCTGCCGGTTAGGCCTGCAGAAATGAACTGGGTCGGACCAGAACAGAGTCAGGCCAGAATGAGACCTGCTACTGTTCTGCAGAGCCTGGTGTGTAAAATTTAGTAGCTACATATACGGATGTTGTTAAAAAGACGTAGGTTTAAGAGGTTAGAACATTGCAAGAATGTGGAAAGGGTTTAAAATGCCTTAATATATACCTGTATATAAATAATAAAATAAACTACTACTGTCACATTTATGCCCCTCCTGCCACAGATCCTGTCATCATGTTCTGTTTACCCTGCTCGTCATGTTTCTAGTATGCTCCTGCCAACGTTCACCACGCCCACTATGCTCTGTCACTGCAATCAGCTGCAGAAAGAAAAACTTTGCAGAGAGTGGTGAAGGCTGCACAGAAGATGTTGGAGTCAGTCTCCCCACCATCACAGACATCTACACCTCCAGATGCAGGAAGAGGGCCACCTGCATCATGAAGGACCACACTCACCCAGCACACACACTTTTTGCCCCACTCCCCTCAGGAAGGAGGTTGAGGAGAATTAAGTGTAGAACCACTAGACTGAGGAACAGCTTCTACCCTGAGGCTGTTAGACTCATGAATCTCTAACTAGAATAATCACTGAAAAATCACATCATGTTGCTGCTGATCTGTTTCAATGTTGCTGCTGATCTGTTTCAATGTTGCTGCTGATTTGTTTCATGTTGATGTGCTCATTCGTGCTCATCTGCTCACACAGACTCATGGTCGTGCTGCTGTTCGACGTAATGCTTTTATGCTATTAGTGCTTAGTGTATATTTAGTTGATGTTTTCTTAGTTCATATCTTAGATCTTATCACTGTTTTTCTTTTACATTTTATTGTTGGATGTAACTGGGACCCTGCTTACATAATCTCGTTCCACCACGTGTGCGACATGAGATGAGGATGACAAATAAATCTCTCTGACTCTGACTCTGTTTCCTGCCCTCCTTAAACTCCGTGCTCATTCTCATACTCTGCCAGATTATCAAACTTTTCATGGTAGTAGATATCCAGCGCTCATGCCATAGTCTTGTTTGCCTGCCTTGTTTTGACCTCACACCTGCCTTTTGGATTCCCTGCTTTGCCGGCTCCTTGCCTGTATTGGATTAATCTCTCTGCCCATGGTATCGACCCCTAATTCTGCTACTATGACCACGCCTCAAGGATCTCGTTTTGGTTTTGGATCTGGACCTTCTTTGCTTGACCCTTGCTTGTGCCCTTGGATCCCCCTTTTGGACATCCCCTCAAACAACGTTTTGCTCAGCTCTGCGCCGCAGCTACTGCTCGCTCACTCTCGGTGATTTCATCGTCCTCAACTCCCTGGAGGAGCCCCTCCCTCACCTGACTGTGAAGGTTAGTGGCTGCCTCTGTACTCCTCTAAACAGTCATAATAAAACCCAGGTGACTAACTCTCCTGTCTCTGCAGAATGGATCAGTTCTCGGACCCAGACCTCCTCTAGTAGCAATTTATTAATAAATCTTTTAAATCACTCCTGCTGTCTGGTGTCGTGCTCGAATCCATAAACAGATTCTTGTCAACTACTTACTACTACTACTACTAATTAGGGGTGTAACGGTACGCTAAAATCACATTTTGGTTCAGTTCAGTTTCAAGGAGGGCTCGGTTCGGTTAATTTTCGGTACAAAAAAAGACTTACAAAATGTTTATTTTTAAAATATGCCAATTAAACAATACATTTGTATAAAAATAAATAAAAGTGACCCATTTGGATGATATTTTAAATAAACTGCACTCTTTACAATAAAAACTCTACTAACAATAATAAAAATGTTAATAAATACAATAACAGTCAGAACCAGAACAATAAGCAGCAACAGACTGTTTACAATCTGGGCTCCAGAGAAGGATGTTACTCCAAGTGGACTGTGAAGGAAAGAATAAAAGTTATGAAGTGTAGAAATTGTGGCAGCAAGGAAGGAACCTGTAAATTCCAAAAAAGTTCAATCTGGTCCTCTGGACATTCAAAAAAACAAAAGCAAAACAAAGCAAAAGAAATGTAGAAACGTTTCGTCTCTCATCCGAGAGACTTCCTCAGTCTGAGGTGCTGTTTTCAGCTCAGTCTCTTAAATAGCACCGTCTCAGAGTGGATCAACCAGTTTGCTGCTGACAACCAAAACCAGCTGATCACATGGTCAAGAAGGACCATCAGACTAACAATGGATCATTAGCACACTGGTGGCTGTTTACTGTTCACAGAGGGCTGAGTGATACTAGCAATCACAGCATTGTAAGAGGGGGACAGTTGAACCCGGAGGCCTCCTTCTTGAGCATGTGATCAGCTGGTTTTGGTTTTGGTTTTGCAAAATTTACTGTAATCAGAGAACATAACTTTGGACCACTCAGCAGCAGTCCCAGGCAAGATGTTTCTGACGCAGTCTCTTGTTCAAAAGTGGCTTGACCTGGGGAATGTGGCACCTGTAGCCCATTTCTTGCACACGCCTGTGCACGGTGGCTCTGGATGTTTCTACTCCAGACTCAGTCCACTGCTTCCGCAGGTCCCCCAAG